AATTATAAATTTTTATATAGAGAGAAAATTTCAATTTTCACTATATTTTATTAATAAATTTAGCCCCTGAGTCATTAATTTTGGTCGTCACTGTACATATATAATTAAAGTTTTATATTTTATTATAATTTCAATAATTTTGGTTTAAAAATTTGTAAAGACAGATCTCTTGATATATTTTTCAAAATATCAAGCATTTTTGGTAAATATTCAAATTTCAAACATTTATAATTATCTCGAAAATTATCTTAAAAAGCAGGTATTTGCGTATTAATATTGTTCAACTGATAAAATTACATTTATAATAAAGATTTCAGAGGAATAAATATTTTTTGTGATTTTTTATATTGATTTAACGATCCGCTAGAACTGTATATATGCCGATGAAGTTTCTATGGCAGATCCTATTACTAGAGTGTAAATATCGTTCACATTCTTTAACAATTAGCGAAAATATTGTTCCTAATCTGATCACATGATAAAAACCAATAAGAATACACAAATCATATGTGTGCCAGCAACTATTAAAAGATGTATTAGAGTTAGAAATGGAAGAATTACATGTAACATTGATCTTACTGACATTTTTTATTAAAGCTCCAAGGAATTTTTTGAATTTGTTTTTTGATCAACCCGGCATAACAAAGAGATGGAAAATGCAAAAGATTCGAAAAATTCGAACAGATGTATCAAAATTTAACTTGATCATTAAAAACGTCGGGGAAGTAATTTTACATAGAAATCGACTTTTTTCCCTCACCCTGAAGATCATGTATTACATGTACATGTATTATTTATTTTATTTCATTTCTTGATACAATACTCATAAGTATTGGCACTTGGAAATCTTTAGAATAATTATAATCATCTTTATCTTTATAAAAAATTCAGTCTTCGCTCTCAAAACTTGAAGCAAATATAATGTAATTTTAAAGTCAATAAATTGAATCTAGCATTCGATTTGTTACATCACAAGAACTAACAATCCTTTCTTATAATATTCGCAACCACCACAACTAAATAAAACAAAGAAATTACGACACGATGACCAGGTTTAATTTGATATCTTCCGTGATTATTGGTTTGGGATTTACCGTTCAGGTGCCATTTCTGAAACAGAAATTGTTGACTACATGTAATTACTAACAATAGCTTCAGGTAAGAAGAAGTAGAAGAGTGTGTTAAATATGAAAGAATTGATACAATTAAAGCAAGTCAATTTTCTATATGATGAGTTGTCATTTTTAGCCCCAGCTTATGTTTATTTTGAAAATTATAATTAACACTTATAAAACAGAAGTAAATGTTTTTACGCTCGTTTCTTGAACAGATAATGGACGACAAACCACTCGTTGCCATCATTCATCCCGAAAAATTCTGCAACAGCAATATAGAATGTACGCCATCGGTTAAACCAAGTTGTTGCATTTTCCCGTCCTTTTTATATATGCGTATAATGAATAAAACAAAGTATTAAATAAGGGTATTATAAAATAAGTTTATTAATACTATTACCATAAGTTTCCACGAGATGTGTGAATGCGTCGTTTTTGTTTTTATCTACTAATTTTAGCCATTCTTCGCTTGTTTTCGAGTAATGTTTCCCATTTACGAACCATTTATTTACTAATACCAGGTCATTTTGAAAATGGAGAAATAAATCGGACGAGGGCATGGTTCCGCCTAGAAATTTTCAATAAAATTATTTACGGTTTAGAACAAATGCATAACGAATAATCGCATACTACATGTATTATATTGAATTGTTTAACTACCCGTAAAGAAATATTTCGTCATCCAACTATCATCTGCCACAAAATCATACGGTTGAGATTTATGGGCAAACGTATGCAAAAATAAAAGTCCATCAGGAGTCAACCAATTTGATATTTTTTGCAATAGGTGTTCGTAATTCTTCATGTGTTCGAACATTTCGATTGAAATTATACGATCGAATCTTTCAATAACGAAAACAAATTAGAATGTTATTTGATTAGATTAAGGATAGAATTTTCTTACTTTGATTCTTCTCCGAAATCGAAATTTTTTATATCCGCAGTAATCACAGTCAAATTCTTGTATCCTTGCTTATCTGCGAGACTTTGAATATGTTTTCGTTGACTGTTTGAATTTGAAAGCGCGGTCACTTTGACATTTGGATATTTCTAAATGGAATCATTCATTGTCAGTAAGTAATAAAAAAGTACGAGATGCTTTTATGATTCTCATGTTTGCTACCTCACAAATGTATAAGCATAAACTTCCCCAACCACAGCCCAGATCAAGAATCTTCATCCCGTCTTCGACCTGAGATTTTTTACAATAAGATTCGAGCATTAGATCTTCAGCCTGGTTTAATGTCTCTTTGCCTTTAATCAATTATAATAAAAGTTTTGAATGAGATTACATTATAAAGTTATGTCATTCTGAAATTATTTATTAATTTTACCTGTGGGGAAAAAGGAACAAGAATATTTCATACGTTTTCCAAGACACAATTTCATAAATTCAGTCGAAACCTTTTTGAAGATATGCGAAATCTCGATTAACATATTCAAAACCATCATAAGTTTAATATTTTTATATCACCTCATAGTGCTGTTTATTAGCAGCTTCCTGCTCTTCGGCTATTGGTCGCTCCTTAAGTTTCTCGATATAACGCATTTTATCGGTATGCTTTTCCGTAAACTCATTACCTTCAAGTTCATTTGCTCTTGCACGAAGAATATGACGAATTGCTGCTCGCAAAACAAAATCAGGGAGTATTCCATTATCTATGAAAGGCTCATACCAGAAATTCTTGATGGACATTTTCAATTATTTTGAGATAAAAATTATTGGATTTCTAGTTAACGATGTGCTTTTTATTTTATAGTTAACAATGGAAAATTTTGATCAAGTATTATTTAATGATCCCCCTTTTTTATTTGTCTCTGTCTTATATGTGCATGAATAACTTGAAAAATTTTTCCGAAATGAACGTTTGAAGTAATTTGCCCGAAAGTTTATTCATGTACATGCACATGCAAGATGTCTCCAGTAATACAGTCAACTTCGATAGATCGAAATGCAGATTGAATTTATATTGTTTACAATACTATAAGGAAAAAAATGTCCCATATGCATGTAGTCGTTTTTGTTTAGGCGTATGAAAGATTTGGGCTGATGTAAAATAAGAATGCTTTGATTTTCTCATCTAAGACACTTTAATTTCTTCATGTGTTTTCGGATATTCTAAAGAACTGTAGTACTGAAAATGTATTCGGTTTCCACCATACATAGTCTTTCCTCAGCAGTTGGTCTGTTTTCTGGAATAAAATTCTAACATTTTTCAATAATAAATTTGAACCAGCTGGAATGTTATTTGTCCCTTAGATCGTGTCTAATACAAGTTATATGTATATGACTTTCACCGAATGGCTGCTCAGTTATAATTTCGTATATAACTATCTCAAAACTATAAATCTCTGCAGCTTAGTGATGGCTTTCCATTTAGCACATCCTGGCTCCTATAAGCACAAATTTCTTGGTTAGATTTTTGAATGTCCAAAATCAGCAACTATAATTAATAAGAATTGTGATAAGTTTAAGCTCCTGTTATAGAGTTTTGATCTAATAATATTTTTTAACGCGTTGATACATTCACGTATAAAATGGATTCCAAGAATAAATTTTTTGTTTTCAAAAAAAAAGAAAATTCCTTCATAACCTCTTTCTTCCATTCTTGCTTTACCTTCTTAATACATCCACCCAAAAACCATTCACGAACAAAAAACGCGCCTGCCAATTTTTTTTGCCTGGAGACTTTTACTATTAATCTCGCTTGATCTCATATGTACATCAAATGCCTCGATGAACTATTACCCGACTCAATATTTGGTGTATCTCGTTTTAAACAAAAAAAATTAATATTAATCATCACAATAAAGATTCTGTTCAGCTTATCATTACTATTTTCGTTTGATCGTGGGATATTTGTATCTCACAAATTTTTTTCCGTATAAATGAGAATACTGTAATTTTCGTTCTAACAAGTAAATCAACGATTGATCCGGAACAACTGCCGAAATTGACGCTAATGGTTTGATGTCTACTTTTGCAAAGGATCAGTGCATATATTTCAGAATACGATTTAGTTCTGTGGCACCTCTTTCAATTTTTAAGCGATATTTGGAATCATGTCGTGCTTTCCTGTAAGAACCAGTCTAAGTACTCTTGCCGAAAAACTCGGAGATTGTAGGCAGAAGATCCATTTTATAGATCTAATATACAAAAATTGACGTCAAGGTTCCGTTGAAAGCACATCAACTCACCGAATCCCGAATATCCCCACACTTGGATCTTTGGTTTGATGCCAATAATATGAAATATTTTCCTCTCAACAAACTGCCAACCCTTTTTTTGATGGAAATAGTTGAAAGGTGATTTCATTGTAAAATAACTTGTCTCAAATCAAAAATTCAATATTTCTTTCATTGCAGCCATTTTATCTGGTGATTTTCTGCAAGAAGAGATTTTGAAATTTCATTCACTCTGTTCTTCTATATTCCCATTATATTTAGATACTTGCTATGCTATTTTCTAGCTTCGAATTTTCATTATTTATTTATATTGTCATGAAGAAAAGTTAATCAATTATCTAACTTTTATTTTTTATATTGGTGTGTTGTCACCTGATTTTAGAAAATCTCAAGACCATATGACCATCATGTATATAAAGTAATTTTTTTCTTGTCTTTCGGAGAAAGATGATTTTAAATATTAAAATAGATTAGATTGATCTTTATTTTTCATCATTTTTATGAAATGAAAGTTAAATTTTGATTAACTTGGAGAGTAAAGGTAATATTTATTATGCAAATACATGATAAGCAAACACAGACATACATAAACAATATATTTTTTATAGTTACATAGAGAGGATATAGTGCTTTAAAAGATCAGAAAAGTTAGAAGTACTTATAAATAAATGTGACAAGAAATTGTCATTTGATGAAGCTTGGATATTTCTAATCAGGTAGTTAGATAAAAGAAGAATAATTGAAGAATTAGGAAGCAATAAAATCTGAATGGAATATTATAAGTTTATTAGATAATGATTACAAGTTAACAAAATCAAAGGATTATATATATTATATATATTACGCAAATATACAAGTTAACAAATCAAAAGTTTACATTTATCATATTATTATATAAATATGCAAGTTAACAAAATTAAAGAAATATATATATCATAAATGTTATGCAAACTTGCAAGTTAATAAAATTAAAGATCATATTTATCATAATTAATATAGCACAATTTGATATAAACAAATAAATATAGCAAATTTATCAAAATATTATATTTAGATATGCAAATTAACAAAAATATTAATTAAATATTAATTATTAAATCAAACATTAATTGCATGAGAATTTATCATGTATTTATTTATTATATTCATAAAATTAAAATTTTAAATTGGATAGATCAAATAAATATTATACAATCACTATAAGATTTGAAGGATATATAGGATTTAAATAGAAAATGCTATAATTATAATTATAATTTATAGTAATACTATTTGTAATATTTAAATTTATTCTAATAAAAAAATTAAATAAATTTGATGAAAACATCTTTGAAGAAGTAAGTGTTTAAATATGATGAGTATTATATATGTGAAGTGATGAAATTGAAGTACAGAATCAGAGGCTTTCACCAGAGTTATACGAGATTTAGAGGAAATATACAAAAGAAATGCAACATAAAAGTTTCACAATATTCCATTCGTAATAATTTATTCGTATAATGTACATTTTATTCACAAATCTAATTTCTTATTTTTCCGTGCTACACTCTACTGCTTTCACTGATAAGTTTACTTATTCTTAATTTTCAAACTAGTTGTTATGTCATTTTTTACTTAAAAATTATTCAAACTTCGTGCCTTTCAGATAAATTCTGTTACTCGTGGCATAGCTAAACTCTCCGTTCTTTACATTTTACTTGCTGGTAGATAATTTTATACAAGTGTGCATAGAACAGCCTTAATGATACACAAAATAATTTCAATTATATCTCTTTACTTACCACTTGGTTTGGTCTACATAATTTTGCCACCATTCACCTCTCACGTATAACTCAAACAAAGGCCCTAATGTAGTTTTTCTCGTTTCTTTTACATATAACTAGTCTCTTCTGAGACGAAGGTTCAATTCCTTCCGGGATCAATTAAATTATTAATAATAATATAAATACGAATGGCTCTGGAGGAGACCATATCAGTGTACTAATGATATCTGACGAAACTATTTTCATGATAACAAATGACGTGACCATTCGTCAGACGAAACCTATGACGATGACTAAACTGGGAATTTTCTAGAGCAGAAAAGTCAATACCGAAATCGCAAACTACAATCATTTGAATCATTAATACATGAGTAAAATTATATCGCGAAAAAATTCAGAAGCCTTTAAAATGAAGTTTTAAAAGGATATAGAAGATAAATGAGTAAAGTAGCAAAATATAAAAGAACTGGGAAGTTGTTGCGAATTGTCAACTTGGTTTCATTAACCGTTCTGAGAACTATATTCATTTCCCTACAAACATTTGTTATCTAAACATTCATTTCGATAATGATTAGTCAATTTTCCCACCCCAGTCATCACCGATTTCACAATTCATCATGGCGAGTTCAATATCATATTGAAGTGTTTGATATTCTCATTTCCTATGTCTATATGACCTACTTGCCATAATATTTACTAGCTTGATAGTACTAGATTATACAAACATTATTAAGAAATACCAACCTTCCTGATCCACATTTGGCAAAACTTTGCTCGTGTAAACTACCAAGGAATGCGTTGTATAACTTTCTTTGGAATCATATTTGGATGCTTTTGCAATTCTAAACGCCTCGACAGCGTCTATTTGTTGTTTTTCGTTTCTGTAGTCTCGTCTCGATACCATTTTTCAACGAAGTCTAAAATCTCTTTAGAAGTTGGTCTTTGCGAGGGATTTTGATGCCAACAACGTTACAATCAAGTCGCAGTAAAAGTCAGGTATTCCTTCCGGTAATTCTGGTCGCAATTCATCGCATATAAATTGACATCGAAAGAACGTTTACCGAATGGCGGTTACCAACACATCACGCCAACATGACAATTCCCAATGCATAGACATCTGATGCCATACTGAATGCTTCTCCTCGGAAAATCTCCGGTGCAACGAATGGTATGACACCCTTAGTGGAATTTTGTTCTACGTCATTTTCATTTCTAAACTCTTCAAAAACGAGCACATCTTTTAAACAACAAAAAGTTCAAAGAACGGGAGACTCTAAGAATTCGGTAGGTTTTATCATTTAGAAATTTTATAAACCATCTTCTATGTATGCAGCACCTAATTCACAAATTATAGTATCATCATTACTTAATCGAAGAATATTTCCAGGGTGCAGGTCACCATGTATAATACCTTGTGAATGAATTCAGCACAAATATCATTATATGTTCGATTTCATCATATTTGTAAAGTGGGAAATCTAAAAAAATTGTTCGTTTCATCCAATCCGGAAGTTTCTTATATAGAACTGATGGGATAGGAATCAAGATGCTCGTCTTCTCGCGATACGGGTGTTTGTAACCTAATTTGTATTGTTTTTTCTGAGTTGTGATGGTAAACCCGAAATGAAGAGCAAAAGGACTGGAAAGTAAACATATTTACGAGAGTATTGTTAAAGAATTCTATTTTCGTTTGAATCATGATATCATAATAAAACTAATATATGTGTGCGTTACTTGTTATATATAT